TCTTGCTTGCATCTTTCCAATTTTTCTCTGGCCTCAGGCTGTTTGAAAAGTCCCTTTATTTTTCCTAGAGTGCCTTTTTTTTGCCCATTCAGAACTGTGAACAACTTTTCAAGTGCCCTGGTGTGAAAATATAAAATAAAGACAATGTCATCATCAAATGGGACTCACTCGGTGAATTTGCAATGTCATACAGGAGTGATGTTGGAAGGATACCCCTGATTTCTGAAGTTGAATTAAGCTGGACAATGATGCACAGGATTTCATGAATGTGCTCCATAATCTCAATGTATTCTTCCTTGTTCAATTTGGTCGTCTTTGTTTTGTTAAATATGGTGCCAATAGGTGGAGGCATCAGCTTACCTCAATACACTTTGTGATTGACAAGCACAATATGGCAGTTGATCCAAGGAAAGGCACTTTGGCTGTTTCTGCAATGTTCTTGGTAGTAGTTGCTGCCAGTATAATATATTGGAGAAGACTCTCGACATTCTTGGTAATAGGAATGGTGGGCATTGATGACAGGGAGGGGTTCCATTCGTCGGGGCTTATATATATATACATTTGGCCGTGCATTAAGGCCATTATGAGCATGATATGAATCAAATGATATATACACGGTATATGTGTCTGTTGACAATTTCACACCGGAAACAGATCTATCTTTAAATCTTTCAAATGTAGTCAAGAAAAGGATACTCGTCTACTTGTGCCGGCCGAGAAAAGCTGTCTTTATGCACATATCTCTGGTCCAGCAATGTGGTGGCATCCAGAAAGAAAATCAGCCATGCCCCTCACCACTGCGAAAATAAATCTGCAACAAATGGGTGAGCCAGTAGTGCTTGATAATTATAAAATGGCAGATGATGTGAAGTGGCGGCATTTGGATATATTGCATGTGAAAGGAGGAGATAGGATGGAGATAGCGCTAAAACCGTCATACCCGTAGGAATCACGCAGCTTCTGGGGACTCAGCGGCTTCGCACATAGGAGCACAGAGAACCCCGATGCGAGCCAAATGAAAATCGAAAGCTGAACACGGGGACTCGACCCCCCGCATCCGAATAGATCTGCCTTGCCTTTCTTTTTTTGTCCATGCTGAAATAATGCCCACTTACCCAGCTTCAGATGAAGGGAAATAAGTCGGATGTGGTGTATGGTGCACCTCAGCTTCCAGTTAAGTGGTGTCTGCTTTTGCCCTCTTCAAGCTGAATGCCGGGGTTCAGCTCCCCGCGTCCGAATAATGCTTTAGTGGATTTTCACCCTTCCCTGACTCCAAATGGTGCAGAATATCTCGGAGGGTGGTGCACGCTGTACATCAGCTTCTCTTAGTATTGTTCCAAGATGCAGACTGAAGACCGAGGTTTGACTCGCATCCAAATAACACAGTATGTCTGTTGTATTGAAACCCTGAAATATCTCCCACTTACCCAACTCCAGTTGAAGGGTATCAACTCGGATGTGATGAACGACACACATCATCTCTATATACATGTATAATCAAATACGAGAAGCTGAAGACCGGGGTTCGACTCCCCGCATCCGAATAAGTCGAGCTTTACTTTTTTTTCGGTCCCTGACAAAATAATGCCCACTTACCCAGGTTCGAGTGGTAGGAAGTATCTCGGATGTTGTGCACGGTGCACGTCAGCTTCGCATACGCCGGGATTTCCAGAACGTGAAAGGCTAAAGACCAGGGCTCAACTCCCTACGTCCGATCTGTCTTGCAATTCGAGTTTTTTTTTGTCATGTCCATGCTGAAATATCTGCCACTTACCCAGCTCCAAATAGTAGGGAATATCTCAGATGTGGTGCAAGGTGCACATCGGCTCTCAATAAGCTGGTTTGATGATAGCTATGAGCTGAAAGCTGGAGTTCGACTCCCCGCATCCGAATGTATCTGCCTTGCTTCTTTTTTTTCGTCCATGCTGAAATAATGCCCACTTACCCAGTTTCAGATGAAGGGAAGTAAGCCAGATATGGTGTATGGTGCACATCAGCTCCTTCTTGAAAGCTGAAGACTGGGGTTCGACTCCCCGCATCCGAATGCTTGGCTTTGAAATTCATTTCTTTTTGGTGCTAAATGCTGCCCACTTACCCTGGATGTGGTGCACGGTGCATATCAGCTCATCGTAAACTCGAACCATCGTCAGGCTGAGGACTGGGGTTCGACTCCCCGCATCCGAATGAAGCACCTGTTGCCTTTCTGCTTTTGTGCCTAAATAATAACCACTTACTTACCCAGTCTCAAATGAAGGGAAGTAACTGGGATGTGGTGCTCGGTGCAGGTCCTAATAGTAATAAGCCGTGTTGCAGGTTGAATCTCGGGGTTCGACTCCCCGCATCCGAATAAATGGCAGCCGTAGGCTTTTTTTTTTTTGCTTTTTGAAAACTCTGAAATATCTTCCACTACTGCTCGCCGAGCCCGAAAACAAATGCTCGAAGGTGGTACTCTCCGTCATTGCCGATTGCACGTACAAAGTTCGGAAGTATTCATTGTCTAAATAAAGTCACAAAAACGTACCCTAAGCAAAACTAGGGCTAGTGGCAACCCTTGCGGCTGTTAGACCGCGCTTGGACCGTTGTTAATGAGAGTGATAGATAGATGATTAAAGACACTCGGAAATCGATGTGATTGAGAAGAATAGTTAAGGTTGAAGGAGGATACGAGGACACGCACTCTGGAGTTTGCTGGGGGGGGGGGGGGGTACCATGGGCGCGACGCGTCAGGTCAGATCAACATTGCACAAAGACACGTCAAGCCGTCCGGAATCGCACGAGATTCGAATTCAGCGCGAACTTTGAGGTGGCACGAAGCGAGAAGAGATCGCGAAAATAATGCGCCAAGTCCGGGGGAAAGCGCAAAACATCGGCGGGTTAGAATTTTGGAGGCCTGATCAAGCGCAGATATTGAAGACTGGAAATCATGGCACTTCGAAAAGTCGGGCTGTAGCTTGTCCACCTGCAAGCAGAAAGAAAAACCCGTAATGAAGGACTGATTTAAATTCTTGTATTGTAGTCGGAAATCCTCGATTTCACGCTGCCATTTGAGGCCGGAGGTCGCTGAGAGGGGAAGAAATATGTTGAAGTCGCAGGCCGCGAAGCGGGCCCGAAAAAGAAAAAGGAAGTCGGCAGAATGGTACACCAGATCGGTAGAGAGAAGTCCAGAGCTTGATTTGAAGGTTCGATTCAACTCACTCGGTCACAGGATGGTGAAAAATCAAGGGTGAGTGTTCGAGTGGGGTCTTGGCAGAGCTTCAAGAATTTGGGATGTGCTTGGAGGAAGTCGCGGCAAGGCGAGAGCTTGAATTGGCATTTGTGGGCGTGTAAGTTGCGGGTTTGAGCCGACACTGATGCGAGAACTCCCAGTCTAGTCACAAGACCTTGGAGAACCTTGGAGAAAGCGTTGGTCTCGGGAGAGCGATACTTTTATTTAGAAAGCGTGGACTGAGAAGCCGCAATAGGTTGCGTGCTTTGGGGAGATCAAGTTAACAGAACAGGAAAGGCTTCTTAGGTGGTGGAAAACATATAGCTTGATCTGGCATTTCGTGGCGCTACAGACGCGGTATTGTTTGCGGGGTGTCCAAAAATCGAAAGCGGGAGGGACCATGTGTGTGCGAAGGGCGGGGCAAGGAGCGCGAGAAGGGGTTGGATGTGGCGGGCGGGCGCGGGCAGAGCGGGTTTGAGTGCGGCGTCTCCAGATCAACAATATCGCCCGAGGAGGAGGAGATGGAGCGCCAGGTGCTGGTGGCGTCGGACACGTCGAGCAGCGGTGTCGCGTCGTCATGCGCGTCCACGCGTGCGCCGCCCCGCCCCGCGAACGCCGCGCGGTAGTGCCGCGGGAGCACGGGGTCCCTGCGGGAGCGGGCGAACGGGAGGAGGCGCAGGCCGAAGGCGCTCCTCTTGGCGCGGCCGCGGCCACGCAAAAGCGGGATCGGGGGGACGGCAGAGGTGCGGGCGGCGGGGTCGGCGGTCGGCAAAAGGGAGATGCCGGCGCGCCGGTGCGGGAGAATGCATAGGGCGGAGACGAGCCCACAGAGGGCGAGCAGGAGAAGCAGGAGCAGCCAGAGCAGCCAGAGAGACGGGTGCGGCATTAGAAGGTATACGGCGTATGAAGTATCTATTAGTTTGCTGGTGGAGGGTCAGTAAGAGTGGGATGAAGATAATGGGGACAGCGGTTACCGGGAGGGGAGGACATGGGAGAGGAGCAGGAGGGCGAGCTGAGCAGCGTGCTACTAGCTCCTACCGCGAGGACGCCACGACCTCACAAGAGGGCCGAAACATGTGCAAATACTACCGGCCCGGCTTGCTCTCGACTCATGTTCTCTGGTTCAAATGAAGGCAAGTAACTCGGGTGTGGTGCAGGGTGCACATCGGCTTCTTGTCGAGTTGCAAACTTCAAGCAATGTGAGCTGAAGAACGGGGTTCAACTCCCCGCATCCGATTTGTCCTGAATGAGCCAACATTTTTGCCACACTCATGTTGAAATACCGCATTTACCTAGCTAGCTTCAGAAGGTATTGAATAACTCGGATGTGGTGCATGGTGCACCTCAACTCTTTATCTTGCTCTTTCAATGCAGTGGCTGAAGACCGGGATCTACTCCCCGCATCTTGACTAGCTATAGTGGACATGTTGCTCAGACTACCCAACTCCAAATAATATAGGACAACTCGGATGTGGTGCACGGCGCACAGCAGCTCCTGTTGAATCTTTGACGAGAGTGTTGCAGGCTGAAGACCGGGGTTCGACTCCCCGCTTCCGAATAAGTCACAGTCGAGATTGATTTTTTTCTTTTTGGTCCATGCCAAAATAATGCCCACTTCCCCAGCTCCAGAAGGTAGAAAAGAACTCGGATGTAGTGCACAGCGCACATCAGCTCTTACGCTGCGGGCTGAACATTGGGGTTCGACTCCCCGCATCCAAATATATTTTCCTTCCTTGCTTTTTGTCGATGTTGAAATACTACTACATTCACCCAACTCCAAATGAAGCATATTAACTCGGATGTGGTGCACGGTGCACATCAGCTACCACTAGTGTGGACGCGCTGTAAGCTGAAGAACGGGGTTCGACTCCCTGCGTCCGAATAAGATGCGAGCCCCGTATTTTTTTTTGTCCTCTCTGCTGAATTCGCCAAAATGCTGCCACTTAGCCAGGTTTCAATGATAGAAAATATCTCAGATGTGGTGTAGGGTGCACACCAGCTCCTTGTTGGTTGGTTATATCTAAGCTTAGAGCTGAAAGCCGGGGTTCGACTCCCCGCATCTGAATAAGTGGGATAATTGATATCTATTTTCCCCGCATCTGAATAAGTGAAATAATTGATATCTATCTTTTATTTGCTTTTTTGTGCCGAAATATTCCCATTTACCCCGGTTCAAAGGATAAAGAAAAACTCGGATGTGGTGCACGGTGCACATCAGCCCTTTGTGGTTCATTTTGAATTCTCTTGATGCTGAAGAACGGGGTTCGACTCCCCGCGTCCGAATAAGCAGCCCTTGATTCTTTTTTTGGTCCATGCCAAAATAATGCCCACTCGCCCAGGTTGAGAAGGTATGGAATGACTCGGATGTGGTGCACGGTGCACGTCAGTTCCTTATTATATTGCGTCCAATACCTGGAAGATTGAAAGCCGGGGTTCGACTCCCCGCATCCGAATTCAGCGTGTCTCCTTGTGTTTTGCCCATTTCCTCGCTAAAATACCACATTTACCCAGCTCCAGATGAATGGTAATAGCTCGGATGTGGTGCACGGTGCACATCAGCGGGCCTATTAACGCCTATTTTATGACCGTCAGGCTGAAGCCGGGGTTCGACTCCCCATATCCGAATTACAATATTGTCAGCCTCTCCTTTTTTTTCCCAGTGATATCCATGCTCAAATATTCCCACTCACCCAGGTTGAGAAGGTATGGAGTAATTCCGATGTGGTGCACATCAGCCACCACTCAATGGGAAGTGTGGACATGCTGTGGTTCGACTCCCTGCATCTCAATAGGGGGGAGAATTCACAGACTTTTTTGGATGTTTTGGTGGTGGTGAAAATAATCCCACATCCCCAGGCTCAGAAGGGAAGGAGTACCTCGGATGTGGTGCACGGCGCACATCAGCTTCCATTGCGGTTTGAGTACTGAGTGTTCAGGTACTGCTAAAACCCGGGGTTCGACTCCCCGCATCCGAACAGGTCTTGCACGCATTTTTTTCTTTTTGATCATGCAAAAATAATGCCCACATACTCGGTTTCAGAAGGTAGAGAAGAACTGGGATGTGCGGTCCACATCAGCTTCTCATTATCTGATCCAATGATACTGCAGGCTGAAGATTGGGGTTCGACTCCCCGCAACCAAATGGTTCATCGAATCTGTAGAAGATCCTTTTTTTCTTCTCTCCTGAGTCCATGCGGAAATATCTCCAATTACCCAGCTTAAAATGAAGGGAAGTAACTCGGATGTGGTGCACGGTGCACGTACTAATAGTAATTCGCTGTGTTGCAGGCTGAATCTCGGGGTTCGACTCCCCCAATCCAAATGAGTGCTACCCATAAAGCTTTTTTACTTTTTGTTGAAAACTCTGAAATATGTTCCATCTACTGCTCGCCAAGCCCGAAAACAAATCCTCGAAGGTGGTACCCAAAATCTCTCCGTCCGTGCCGGTTACACTTACAACGTTCTGATGTATTCATTTTATAAATAGAGGCACAAAAAATGTACCCTAAGCAAAACTAGGGCTAGTGGCGCTCCTTGCAGCTGCTAGACCGCGCTTGGACCGTTGTTGATGAAAGTGATAGGTAGATGACCAAAGACACGCGGAAGTAGATGTGGTTAAGAAGAATATTAATAGGTGAGTTTGAAGGAGGAAATGAGGACGAACCTTGATCAAAGCGCTCTGGAATTTGCGGCCAAGCCGTCGAGATTTCGAATCCAGCGCGAACTTTGAGGTAGGAGAAGAGCGGCAAAGCGGGAAGAAAAGTGGCGAAAACAACGCACCGAGTCCGCGGGAAAGCGTACAAGATCGGCGGTCTAGAATTTTGAATGCCTAATCCAACGCAGATTTCAAAGGTAGGAAATCGTGGCACTTCGAAAAATGAAGCACGCGAAGTCGGCAGAATGACGCGTCCGATTATCGGACGGGAAGTCACGGGATTCCCGTAGTCGGAAATGTTGAGGCCGCCGGAGGTCGCGGGAAAGACAACAAATAGGCTGCGAGGCGGGCACAAAAGAAAGACAAAAGCGCGAAGTCAGCAGAATGGCGCGCCAGATTGGTCGAGTCGGTGTCAGAAAGTCGCTAGCTTGATTTGAAATTTCTGGGCTGATATTATAGGGCTTAATTAGAGGCAAGAAATCGCAGGGAAGGTGAAAAACCAAGTTTGAGTGTGCAGGAAAGTCACGTTTTGGAGCCGGTAGTCGCAGAGTTTCAGGATAAACCGAGTTTGTGATGTACCGATAGCTTGAATTGGAATTTGTAGGCGTGCAAAGTCCACCGTTGCGGGAATTGGGAAAGGAGGAAGCAGATGGGCGGCGGATAAAGCAACGAACCGGCCCAACGACCGGGGAAACGCGCCGACGCACTCACGAAAACTCCCTCCCCCCCGCCACGAGCACCGCAAACCACCCAAAGAAGCTCATCAAGAACCTCACGAGCCACGCCCCCTCCGCGCCCACGCCCATCCCGGGCCTTAGCTGCATCGCCAGCGCGACGTCCAGCGGCGAGCGCTGCGTGCGCCCGCCCGCAGGCGAAGCGCGCTTCGTGAGCTGCTGCTGCGTGGGAGGCGACTTTAATGCGGACGACTCCCCAACCGAGGCCGACACGGACGACGTACCGGGGAACGCCCCCGGAAACGCGAGGGCGCCCTCGCGCTCGCCGTCCCACCCGGGCTGTGCGCTCAGCCCGAGCGCGGGCGCGGCGGCCGCGCGCTGCGCCCACGCAGGCCCCGTGAACACGAGCGCTAACCCGAGGTCCGTTTCTTCTTCTTCCGCGTCGTCGGAGTCTTCCTCAGAGTGCACGTCGTGCGCCGCGGGTGATTGGGGCGGCGAAGAAGCGGGGACGGGAAGCGCAGCCGCCGGCGGAGGCTCGGGCGTCGCGGGCGAGCCTAGGTCCTTCTCGCGCGCGGGCGGGGAGAGGAGGGGCGTGTGCTCTGCTGCGCTCGTGGCCTCGCGTGTATGCTCTGTGCGGAGCGGGAGGAGGAGCGGCGCGGACGTCGATATCCTGAGCGGCGACGCAGGCAGCGCGAACACCGGGAGGGGCATCTCCGCCAGGTCCGTGTCCTCCTCCTCCCCTTCCATTCCTGATTCACGCTTTTCCCCAGCTTGTTCGTGGGCGTCACCCTCGGCTTGTTCGTGGTGCACCTAGGAAGCAGAAGGCGGAGGAGGGGGAAGAGGGCCGAACGCGGGGAGGGGCATCTCGTCTGGGTCTGCGTGCGCGTAGTCCGCGACGTCCTCGTCCTGCGCTTGAGCAGCAGCGAGGTCTGCGTCTTGGTCGAGTGTGGCGTGCGATTGCTCCGTGCTGTCGCCGTTCTGCGCTTGCTCCTCATCCCCGACATCGCGCTCCTCCCACCCAGACGCCTCTACGGCGTCATCAACGTGCGGTGCTGCCGACGCCAGCGCATCGTCGTCTTGCGCCTGCTCCTCGTCGCCGTCGTCGTAATCCCCGTGCGCACACATCCACGCCGGCACGTCGTCGTCCGCACGAATCGACACCAGCTCATCGGCGCCACCTACACCAATGGCATCAACATCGACACCACGCGCACGATTGGGCTGCTGCGTACCTGCGTCGTCGTCGGGAATCGGCGCCACGCCGTCGTCGTCCCCATGGGCACGCATCCAGCCCAACACGTCGTCGCCATCCACAACCCGCACCTCATCCACCAAACCCGCACCCCCGTTGTATTCATCCAAGTCGTATCCGCGCAAGTCGTGCGTTTGCGCATGTTGGTCGTAATGGTCGTAATTATAGTCGTAGTCGTGCTGCGCTCCGTCTGCGTCTGCGTTCGTGAGGGTGAGGGTGAAGTCGTCGTCTGCGCGTGTGAGCGTGAAGTCGTCCGGGTCGTCGGTGCTGCCGAACGCACTGGGAATGGTGACGTCCGCACGTTCAGTCGGGAGGGTGAAGCCGTCGTCTGCGTTTATCATGAGCGTGAAGCCGTCGTCGAACGCACTGGGGAGGGCGCCGAAAGCGGGAGTAGTGGGGGTGTCGTCGTCGAGATCCTGCACCTCCTCGTCCTGCTCCCCCTCCACCGCCTGCGGCGCCCACACCTCCTCTTCCCGCTGTGCATCCCGCGCCACGTCGAGGGGAAAGACGCCGCCACCATGGCCAGCGAGGGAAAACCCACCAACGCCACCAGCGAAGGGGACGCGGGTAGAGACGTGCGCGCCCCCTGCGGAGGGAAACCCACCAACGCTCCCATGCCCAACGAGCGGTCCACCCGCACTCAACGCGCGCTCCTCCCTCTCCCACACACGCGCGTGCTCCCGCCAGCGCGCGACGAGGTCGCCGAGGCTGCCCGCGTAGCCCCATAGGCCGTCGTGGTCTTCTGCGTCTTCCTCTGCGTCCTCCATTTCTTCTAGTACATCTGCGTCTTCCTCGTTGTCCTCGTTGTCGGCGTCAGCTGGACGCGACACACCCGCACGGGGGAACAGCAACGCGCGCGGCGCGCCCCGCACGAGGAAAGGCGAGTCGGGGGAGGGGGTGGAGTCGGAGTAGGAGTAGGCGTATGACACTGAGAGGGGGCGCGGCGTGAGCAAGGCTTGCGTCTCCATGAGCGCCGTGTGCGCCTGCGTCTCCACGAGCGATTGTGGGGTGTGGATTTGGGAGATGGGAGCGGGAGGGACGGCGCGTGCGCGAGGGGCGGGGCGAGGAGGGAGGGGGAGGGGGTGGGTGCGGGTGCGGGGAGGGCGTGTACCTCGCGCAGCTCGATCGCTGCGGCACGCCCATCTAGCGCGGAAGTGTCGAGGGACTTGACAGGCGCGCCGAGGGGCTTTATATACGTAATAGTAGGGGCCGCAGGCGTGGGGGTGTGCACTGCGCGCATCGCGGTGATGGGAGGCGGGGGCGTGGGTTTCGTGGTGGACGGAGGAGGGGAGGCGGGGGATTTGGGAGCGAGGGAGACGGGGGTGGGTGGCCATTGGGGCGGGGGAGAGGTGGTGCTGAGGGAGACGGGCCAGTGCGGGGACGCAGGCTAGTGGGGCGACGGCGGGGGCGTGCGGCGCGGGGAGACGACGGTGGTGTCCCTGCCCTTGCCCTTCGTGTCGTAGTGGGCGGGGGACGACGGCACAGACACGTCCACGAGCATCTGCTTGTCATACGGGGAGGAAAAATCGACCAGAACGTGCCCGTCGTGCTCGCGCTCGCAGTCGCGCTCGAACGACGAGCGCGTCAGATGCGCTTTGGGCGGCGGGTCGGTACCAGTATAAATATTAATCGGAATATTACTGTTATTGTTGTTATCGTGCGGCGGCGACCCCAGATCGACGAGCTCGCCCGAGCTGGAGGAGGAGATGTAGGAGATGGAGCGCCAGGTGCTGGTGGCGTCGGATACGTCGAGCAGCGGCGTCGCGTCGTCGTCCGTGTCCACGCGTGCACCGCCCCGCCCGGCGAACGCCGCGCGGTAGTGCCGTGGGAGCACGGGGTCCCGGCGGGAGCGAGCGAACGGGAGCAGGCGCCAGCCGAAGGCGCTCTTCTTGGCGCGGCCACGGCCTCGGAGCGGCGGGATCGACGGGACGGCGGAGGTGCGCGCGGCGGGGTCGGCGGTCGGCAGGAGGGAGATGCCGGCGCGGCGGTGTGGGAGGACGTAGAGGGCGTAGACGAGCCCACAGAGGGCGAGAAGGAGAAGCAGGAGCAGCCAGAGAGACGGGTGCGGCATTATTTGAGTATGCGGCGTATGAAGTATCTATTATTTTGCTGGTGAAGGGTCAGTAAGAGTGGGATTGAGATATTGGGACTGCATTTACCGAGAGGGGAGAACATGGGGGGAGGAGCAGAAGGGCGAGCGACCAGCGTGCTACTACCTCTTACTGCAAGGATCACAAGAGGGCAGAAACATATGCAAATACTACCGGCCCGGCTGGCTCTCGACTCTCATGTTCTCTGGTTCAAATGAAGGTAAGTAACTCGGGTGTGGTGTAGGGTGCACACCAGCTACAACTCGATTAGAGCCATACGCGTAATGCTGAAAGCAAGGGGTTCGACTCCCCGCATCCGAATAACGTGCCTATGCGGCTACATTTTTTTTCTTTTTGGTGCTAAAATACCACATTTACCCACATCTAAATGGTGGAGAAGAACTCGGATGTGGTCCACGGTGCACGTCGGCTCCTCGTTCATTGTGTCCAAAAAATCTGAGCGCTGAAGCGCTGAAGGCTGGGGTTCGACACCCCGCATCGAATAATTTATGGCATGAAGCTGCATTCCTTTCTTTTTGGCGCTAAACATTTTCCCACTTACCCAACTCCAGATGATACAGAATAAGTCGGATGTGGTGCACGGCGCACAGCAGCTCCTGTTAGCGCTTCCATGTTGCAGGCGGAACACCGGGGTTCGACTCCCCGCATCCGATTGAATCGGGTCCATGCTTTTCTTTTTGGTGCTGAAATGCTGCTACGTACCCAGTCTCAGAGGGTAGAGAAGAACTCGGATGTGGTGTACGGTGCACATCAGCTCCTCATAAGTGTATCAAGGGTTGCAAGCTGAAGAATAGGGTTCGACTCCCTGCATCTGAATTTGTCTGCCTGTTCCTTTTTTTTTTTCGTCCATGCTGAAATACTGCTATTACTTCCCTAGCTTCAAGTGAAGGTTAATGACTCGGATGTAGTGCAGAGTGCACATCAGCTATCACTACGTCGTTTAAGGGTTTGAGTACTGCTGAAGACCGGGGTTCGACTCCCGGCATTGGAATAAAGCCTCTCTTGCACTTCTTTTTTTTCCCACATCCAGGTTCAGAATGTATTGAATATCTCGGATTTGGTGCACGGTGCACATGTGCATCAGCTCATCATGTATTGTAGCAATCATCAGGCTAAGAACCGGGGTTCGACTCCCCGCATCCGAAATAAGCAAAGTCCACATCTATTTTTTTTTGTCTTCTTTCCTGAGTCTGCGAAAAGCCGCATTTACTACCCACGGTCAAATGGTAGAGATGTAGTGTACAGCGCACTTCAGGTCTTAACTAGCCGGTGTCTCATATTAAAACTGAAGGCCGGGGTTTGACTCCCCGCGTCCGAATGTTGCATTTTTGCCCGTCCACGCTAAAATGAATATCCCCCACTTGCCCAGCTTT